TGGAGTCCCTGAAGGTGGGGTGGGAAAATATCAAGCGGGTTTTGCGAGAAGCGGCAAAAACCCGTAAGGTGCAATCTGACAAACACCACAGCCCCCAAGAGCCATTTTGGGTCGGGAGCAAAATCTACCACTCAACGAAGTACCTAAAACTCCCTTGCAAAAAGGTAGGACCAAAGTTCTAGCTGTTTCTCTATAGCAAAAGTGATCAATCCAGTTACGGTACAACTTAGCCTTCTTTGCCTGCTAGGAAAAGTGCATCCAGTCTTTCACAGCAGTTTATTAAAGCTGGCAATAGGTTCCCTGATCAGGCCGGTAGATCGGGCAGTCCCAAAACCAATAGTAGTGTAGTAGAAGATGAATTACAAGGTAAAGAAGATTCTGGATTCAAAAGTGCGGAGTAGGTTGCAGTATCTTATGCAGTGGAAGGGGTATCCCCTCTCCAAGGCCACTTGGGTCAAGAGTTGGGATGTGAAGGCAGATAGGTTGCAAACCTTCAGAGTTGGTTTTCACCAGATCTATGCCAATATGATACATCCAATAAAGCTATTATTGGAGGAATCTACCTGCCTCGGAGTTTTGCTTGCTATGGGTGTAGTACTTGGAACCCTGACACTAATATTCTTATTGCAGCAATAAAATAAGAAGTAACACTTTCACCATCATAGTCAGATCACGCCCTGATATTTTTATTCATTCATGTTTTACAAAATAATCATATTTAACTTAAATTGTTTCATGACAGTTCATATTGTCATCTCAAATCTATCCTACAATCATTTTGTAGATATAATAAGAGAAGAATACCTCTTTATATATTTATTATTTTCTAAGACACTACATATTTCATTACCATGTTTTATTGTCTAACCATTGATAGAATAGATCCTAAATTTTGTAAAATTGTTTATCATCTTGTTCTCTGATTTTAAATGTCAATCTACTAATTTCAGCACATTCCAATATTTTCTTAATGATTTCCTCCGGTGATGGTGGCTGGTTTGAAAATAAATAAAGATAAGACAAAGATCTTGACAAAGAATATGCTATCAAGATAAAAGGAAGAACTGACAGATCTATTGAAAATTCAGGTCATGAATAAGATTAAGTACTTGGGGATACATCTGACAGCAAGATGCAGTACACTAAAAGAGAATAATTATATCAAACTTAAGCAGCAGATAGCGTTAGATTTGATGAAATGGGAAAATTTACAGCTGTCATTAATAGGGAGAATATCAACAATCAAGATGAATATATTACCCAGAATTTTATATTTGTTCCAAACAATTCCAATTAGGCTTGGAAAAGACTATTTTGAAGATTTAAATAAAATTGTGTTGAAATATATATGGCAAGGTAAGAAAGCGAGAATAAAGCTAGAACTTTTGCAAGATGCTAGAATAAGAGGAGGATTTGGTTTGCCTAATTGGGAGTTGTACTACCAAGCTACAAATCTGATGTGGGTTAAGAAATGGATAACATTAAGAAATACTTGATTGACATTAGAAGGACATGATCTGTTGTTGGGGTGGCATGCTTTTCTATGGTATAAAGGAACTAAAACACAGGAGTATTTTAGAAGACATTATGTACGGGAGTCTCTGTGGTTAAACCTGGAGAAGACTAAAAGACAGTTATTTGAAAATTCCACTCTGGCTATCGACTATTGAAGCATTTTCTTATCCTATAATATATAAAAAGGAACAAACAGTTAGATATGGTGAAATATTGAATGAAAAGGGTGATCTTAAATCTATACAAAAATTAGAGGAACAAGGTACAAAGATGAATTGGTTTTCATATGCACAAATACATTCAAGGTATGACAAAGATTCTAAAACAGAAGGTTTCTATGATAAATCAACTGATTTAGATAAGATTTTGACAGGTACTGATGAAAAGGTGATTAAAAAATTGTATGGATATTTATTAGAAATTAAACTAGAAGAACAAGTTAAAGAAACAATGATTGCTTGGGGGAAGAATTTTGGATATGGGATTGATCTAGAGAAATGGCAAAAATTGTGGTCTCAAAATTATAAAATGACAATGTCAACAGCATATAAAGAAAATTTGTATAAGATGTTTTACAGGTGGCATTTTCCCCTGACAAGAATAGCAAGAATGTTCAAGAACAAATCTGAAAATTGTTGGAAATGTCATCAGATACCTGGCTCATATTACCATATGTGGTGGACTTGTGCGGATGCTAAAAAACATTGGACTAAAATCCACACGTGGTTGGAAAAAATGACAAAAAAGCATATAGATTTGAAACCAGAGATATTTTTATTGGGAATTTTACCTGAAATATATAGTAAAGAATTGAAATACCTGATTGTAAATGTATTAACAGCGGCAAGGATTGTATTTGCTAAAAATTGGAAAAAGGAGAAATTGCCCTGATATTTTTGACACTCTCTTACACCACTTCTCACTGCAGTGAGACTGGACCCATTAAAGTGGTCCACCCCTGGAGAATAAATGTGTTCCCTTAAGGATTTGCTGCATGGCCCTGCTGTACCCTTAGCAACAGTCTGGAACTGAAAGGCAACTGAAACCTTGAACAGGATTATGTCTATATGACCTCTCGCGACTCTTTGTCACACCCCATGGTTCATAGAGGAACAGTGGCTTCTGAAATGGGTTAAGAGATATCTAGAGCGCTGCTGGAGAAAAACAAAGGATAACTCTGACTGCTATTATAAGGCCTATTTGTAGCGATAAAAGAGGGAAACAAAACTATTTCTCCATTCTTATTGAATCTGCCCATCTTTCAGATTACTCAATTTCTCCTAGGTCAGGGCTGCTTGGGCAATCATCTTCAAGGACATGCAGAATAATTTGTTGAACACTTGTTGGATAAAATTGCTTGGATACACTCCTAGTTAAGAACTCTTCTGTGGTGCTATTCCTTATGAGAAATCTAGGGAGACACCTTGCCCAGTACTCTGAGAACAGTTTGACCCTGTTGGATCTAAGAAAATGGACATTATCTTCTGTGCTGTCAAGGTAACAATCTGTCAGTTAAACTCTTGTCCCTCCCCGAGGATGAAAGCCTCCAGAATGGTGGCCATTATGTAGGTTCTTGCAATGATAAATTCTTGACAGCAAGAGGGTACAGGATCTTTTAAGGAGGCCCTGGTTTGTCCACTGCTTAAAAGCCATCACTTGACCCCACCTGCCTGGACAACTTTCATGCTGTTTCCTATCTTTTTTTACGAAAAGTGATGGAAAAGGTAGCTGCTTGGCAACTCCATGGGGTCCTGGATGGAACAGATTTCCTGGACCCTTTTCATTCGGGATTCAGATCCAACTATGGGACAGAGATAGCCTTGGTCACACTCATGGATGATCTTGGGCAAGAAAGAGATGAGGGTATTGCTACTATTCTTGCTCTCTTTAACCTCTCAGTGACCTTCAATACTATTGATCATGTTATCCTTTAGGCTGATTATACAAGTTGGGCTGGGCGGCATAGTTTTGCCTTCCAAGACAGCTCCCAATCGGTGTTAACAGGGAGTGAGAGATCCAGCTCCCAACCACTCACTGGTTGAGTCTTGCAAAGCTCAGTATTCTTCTCCTGTCTTGTTTACATCTACATTAAGCCATTGGATGATATTGTCCATCATTATGGGTTGAGATATCACAATATGCTGATGATACTCAGTTCTTTTTTCTACACATGGTGACCCAAATGATACTGTCTCTGCCCTCTCAGGATTCATGGAGGTTGTAGGGATCTGGATGGGGAACCAACAGACTTTAATTGAACCCTGGCAAGATTGAGTAGGTTTATGGAGGCTCAGGATCCAAGTTTTTGTCTTTCTTAGTTCTGGACGAACTAAGGAGAGCATTTGCATAGCTCCGGTTTGTGCAACAATCTGTGACCTTTCCTGGATCATGACTCCTTGCACTTAAATTACTCAAGTCACATTCATCTTTCATCTGGACTACTGCAATGTGCTCTACATGGAGTTATCCTTGAAATCCATTCAGAAGCTTCAAATGGTGCAAAGTCCAGCAACAAAAGTAGTCTTTGGTGCCCCTAGGATGGTCCATATTACGTGAAGTTTACAGGCTACCTGTCTGCTTTCCAATGCAGTTCAGGGTACTGGTTATGACCTCCAAAGTCTCAAAAGCATAGGTCCAGGCTACCCAATGAACTATGTTGTCCCACTGGAACAAGCTCATATTATTCATGCCAGCAGAGAGGTCCTACTATGGATCCTGTCAGTCAAAGAATTCCAACTATTTGAATCCAGAAGAAGAGTCTTTTTTGCTGCAATACTCACCCTTTCAAATATCTGAGCTTCTGTAGTAAAAATTTGTCCCCACCCTCCTATCCTTCCATAGTAGCCTGAAGACATGGCTTTCCTGTTTGGCCTGGGGGACCAAATAAGGGAGTTCCATGCTGGAGCTTGCTGCTTGATTGATGGCAAACTCCCCCTCTCCCTCTTTGCTCCCTACTCTCCACCCATGTTTTTATTATCATATTGATGTATTTCTATTGTTTTTTGTTTATTTTAATGTTATATTTTATTTGTTTTGTTTACATTCTTTTAATCTGTTTTCTTATACTCTGTTGTCAGCTGCTTAAAATAATCCTCAGCAAAATGGGTAACGAATAAATTTAACAATGAATAAATATATGAATGAGCAAATAAATAAAAAAAGCAAGAGGAACAGGAGAATATGGAATTAGTAAATGTAATGTTTGCCATTTATTTACAAGAATATTAAGGCCACAGATGTCTTCAGTTAAAAGGCAAAACAAGTCATTAAAATTCATAAGATGAGCCTTGAATAAATTCAACATCTCTAATTCATGAATCAAAATATTATCTATCATATTTTCAACATGTCCACTAATCTTTTGACTACTCAATACTTGTTGCTGCTGTTTGTCATGTCAGTTTTTAATCTTATTTTAAATATTTGTACTAGAAACAAACCAACCATATTAAGATCGACATTTTCTTATCCAGCCATTTACTCACCTTTCCTAGAGCTGTCAATAAGTAGAAATCAATAGAATGTCGGTATCTCAGAAGTCGTAGGATGCCATCCAAGTAGACCTGATCTTTACTAAAGCAACCTAAAAAAATCAGAAATTATGGTGGACACTGTAACTTTTAAAACTTTTAAAAATGTAAAATATTTACTTCCACAACATTAAATGATAATTTGAATGAGAAATTTTTAAAAGAAAAATAAAATAAAAATGTCACACTTGCTTACTTGGAAATAAATTTCTTTTGAAGTAGTTGGATTTATAGCTTTAATATAAAGAATTGTGCTATAAGATTACATCCCCCTTAAGTCCCAGTTTCAAATAAAATCTGCAAACTGGTAGATAAAAGAAAGCTTACCTGGTTGTGAAGTATCAGTCCAACCTCTCTTGGCTCGAACACAATAATCCCATCTAGTATTGGGATCAGTGACAAACTTCCCAATGTCCTGAAAAAGGTCTCTGAAGGACATTTGGCTGGCTTGGTAGACAGTGTAATACAGGAGGGCAGCCCGCCACAGGAAAGGATCTTTTCGAAACAGAACACTGTGAATGCTGGCCAGGCCTTCTTCAGTAGGGTTGATGGGTTTTAACCCATGCTTCCGGCGCCCGCTCCAATTGTTCCACAATTGGTTATTGTTGTTAATGCCCCTAAGATAATGAGTTCCTGTAAGAATACACCAACATATATGTAGGCAATATCAAAATGATTACTGAAAAGCAAAGGAGAAATCGAATTAGTCCAAACTTAAAACTGCAATGGGTAAAATCTGGTTCATACTCTGTGCCTTTCTCTTGGACATCTGTCATTCTTGGTCTGTTTTTCTGGCCACAAGAAAAACTTACTACTTTCTAGCACAGCTATTTCATTCTTTGAATACCATTGTCCTTTTGAGAGGGAAGCTTGTCTCTTCCCTAAGTGAAACAGGAAATCTTTTAAGGCTTTTAATTCAGATTTTGATTACAATAAACAACTGGATGGTCAAAGGTACCCTAATATTGATTTAATAACAGTGATCCCAATACCAAACCACCTGGATTTGACCTGTCTTGCTTTGTCTGGTTGAAATTGAACAGAATCAGCTGTGATACAGGAAGATGTGCCTCTGCCCTGTATCAGTTAGATGGAAAGATTCCCCTTGTTACAATTGTAGTACTGATATGCAAACTATTTAACACACTGTGCAAGATTGCCTATGGAGTGCGTTCTCTGGTTCCCTCGAAGATTTGCAAGGAACAATGCCAGAGGCTATCGCCTAATAGCTGAATTAGACATCCAGTTTTGAGCCACTGCTATACCCCCATAAAAGTTTTATATGTAAAGACAGTACTTGACTTACAACAGTTCATTTAGTGACCATTTCAAAGTTATAATGGCACTGAAAAAAGTGACATAACCTTTTTTTACACATACAACTATTGCAGCATCCCAATGGTCACATGATCAACATTTGGATGCTTGGCAACTGACTCATATTTATGATGGTGGCAGTGTTCTGGGGTCATGTAATCACATTTTATGACCTGTCAAGCAAAGTCAATGCGGAAGCCAAATTCACTTAACAACTGTGTTCCTAGTGCTGAACAAATGGTACATAACAACCAGGGTGGGATTCAAATTTCTTAACAACTGGTTATGTGGGCATGGCCTAATTTGTGAATGTGGCTTGGTGGTCATGTAACTGGGTGGCATGGCCAACTCAATGTCACTCACGTCAAGGGGTGCCTCGCCTGGTCCCTCCCCTCCCAAGGAATGGCTATTCCTTCTCACACCCAGCCTCAACGTTATCTATAGTTCTGTAAAAATTTCTTCACCTTTTTTTGACTTTATTATCTACATACTATAAATGTACTTTCATGGACTACTGAAAGGAGGAAATGGCTCACATAATTTCCCCAAGAGTGTGATAGGCCACAGCAGTGATGGGATTCAAAAAAAAATTTCTACCGGTTCTGTGGATGTGGCTTATTTGGTGGGCATGGCTTGGTGGTCATGTGACTGAGTGGGCATGGCTTGGTGGTCATGTAACTGGGTGGGCATGCTGGGTAGTCATGTGATTGGGTGGGCGTGGCCAATTTGACATCACTCATGTCAAGGGATGCCTTGCCTGGCCTCTCCTCGCCTCAGAGATACAATTTCCCTCTCAATTTATTTACTACTACTGAACATCCAAAATACTATGTATTAATTCTATGTATATATGCCATATGCATACATACATATTACATAGTATAGTGTGTGTATAGGCACACAAAAAGATACATTATCTACTATATATACTGTGTGTATGTACGCACATGCACACACACACACAGAGCTCTTCTAAAACTATACACCTTCAACCTCACTGCGTTTGGAAAAAACACACCCATAGTCCACTTTCTGCCACACAAATATTTAACTATAACTTCTGTACATTAGCATTGCACATGCCTTCAGATTTACTTCCCTAGCCTGCACATGACCTTTAGACCCAGGAGTTGTCATGAATTGAGTAAAATGTGATGAAACTCACTTAACAACACTCTTGCTTAGCACCCAAAATTTTGGGCTCAATTGTGGTCATAAATGAAGGACTATCTGCCTTCTTCTGCATGGCATTCTCCTAGTAAACTCCTCTGCCAATTTTCCTCTCTGTTAGAGACACCAAAATAATCCATATTCCAAATGATATAAAGTCTGCTGCTGGAGCAGGGGGACTAGATGGCCTCCAAGGTTCCTTCTAACTCTGCTACTCTATGATTCTGTAAGGATCTCCTGCTGGAGCAGGGGGTTGGACTAGAACAGGGGTCTTCAAACTTGACAGCTTTAAGACTTGTGGACTTCAACTCCCAGAATTCCTCCTCCAGTCATGTTAGCTCAGGAATTCTGGGAGTTGAAGTCTACAAGTCTTAAACTTGCAAAGTTTGAAGTCCCTTGGACTAGAAGATGACCTCCGAGATCCCTTCCAGCCCTAGATTCCTGTGCAATTTTTTTTTTCAAATAATTTTTATTGTTTTTCCAACAGCGCAAATCATACTTACATTTTCAATAGCAGTTTGACATTGACATACAGTGTTATCTTATGTTTTATATCATCAATTCCTATACATCACCAATAACTATTATCCTTATTTGTACTTATTTCTAATCTCTATCTTTATCTATTTTATATATCTACATATCATTCTCTTAAGGTCTCTTCTATGTAATCTTCACTTTTCATTCATGCTTGCTGTTTGATTAGAGTATATGGCTTGTAATGTTTTTTCTATATTAGTGCCAAAATTCATTCTTTTTATTTGCTGTAGCATAAACTTCCAATTAAGATTATCAAAGGCCCTTTTGTGCATCCAAGATATTAATGCTGCTTGCATTTCAGGATGTGCTTTGTAGTATTCGATCGTATTTAACACTATTCAATGTTGTTTCTAATTTGCCTATTTGGCAGGAAACCATTCTGGTCTGAATATATAATCTCACTTAGAATTGGTTTCATTATCTCCGCTAATATTTTCATAAATATTTTGTAATCTGTGTTTAACAACGAGATTGGTCTATAGTTTGAAATCATTTGTTGATCGGTACCTTCCTTCGGAATTAAGGTGACATATGCCTCAGACCAGGATTTTGGTATTCTAGCTTCTAATAGCACCTCATTCATACCTCTAATAGTATTGGTTCAAATAATTCGTACATGTTTTTATACAGTTCACTGGGAAAACCTTCTGGTCCTAGCGTTTTGTTGTTTTTCTCCTTTTGTACTGCTTTTTTCAACTGTGCTGGGGTTATTTCTCTATTTAATATTTCCTTTTGTTCTTCCAAAATTGAACCCAAATCATTCTCCTCTACGTATTTTATTATATTTTCCTCCATAATTTCCTCATTTATACAGTTCCCCAACATAGCTTTGCGCAATCTGTTTTTTTTTCATCTGACAACATATATTCCCTTCTTTATCTTTCAATTGCTGAATTAATCTTTTTTTCTTTTTCTACCTTTAACTTATGGGATAGCCATCTACCTGGCTTGTTTGCGGATTCAAAGAAGTTTTGTCTTATAAATTTTAAATTTTGTGCTCTTTCCTCTAAAAATGTCAAATTTAATTTGTGTCTAGCCATCATTACTTCTTTTTTCATTGTCATATTTTTAGGGTCTTTTTGGAGTCCATTTTCTAATTCCTTTACCTTCTTCTGCAGTTTGTTTTGTTGTTTCCTCTCTTATTTTTCCTAATTGTGTAGGCTATTGATATTCCTCTCATATAGGCTTTTGTAGTGTCCCACAGATTCTGCAAATTTGTATGTTCTTTTAAGTTTATCTTAAAGAATGTTTCCAGTTCATTTTTTATTCTCGGATTATATTCTTTTTGTTTCAGAATTTGCAAGTTTAATGTCCATCTCATCCTTCTTTTCTTCTGCCCTTTCCAAATGATTTTTAATGGGTTATGATCTGCCCATCTATTGGACATTATTTCTACTATATATGTATCTGTTCCAATTGTTCCATTCACCCATAACATGTTGATTCTCGACCAAGATTTATGTGGACTCGAGTAAAATGTGTAATCTTTATCATTTGAGTTCCTTTTTCGCCATATGTCTTCCAAATTAGTTTCTTTTATTAGGTCAAAAAATGGCTTTAATAAATATTTCTCCCCCCCCCCCCCAAATTTGTTCCTTACAAGTGTAATCTTTTTCAATGTCTATGATGGCATTGAAATCCCCAACTAAGCATATATTTTCCTGTCTCCTCTCAATTATTTTCTCATATAGTTTTTTTTTATAAAACTCACTTTGATTGTCATTTGGGGCATATATCCCCACCAACAGTATTTGTTTTTGGAGTATATTCAATTGTACCATTAAAATTCTTCCCCGTTCTTCTGCGTAAATTTGTTTTGCGCTTATCCCTTTCCTAATATACATAATTACCCCCTTTTTTTGGGTATGCCATTGCTACGTATAGTTCACCTAATTTAGGATATTACAGACATTTACTGGTTTTTTTAATATTCCTGTGCTATTTCAAAGAGTTTTCTGAAACCAGGGTTTGTGTCCTTCCTTCATCTCCTTTTTTTTCTCTTTTCCTCCCTCCTTCCATGTATCTATCCATCCATTCATCCATATATCTCATTCACTTTCTCCTTCCTCCCTCCCGCTCTTTCTTTCTTTGTCTCCCTTCCTTCCTTCCATCCCATCTTTCTTTGTCTATCCCTTTCTCTTTCTTTCTCCCTTTTCTTTCTTTCCTTTTTCTTTTTCTTTGTCTCTTCCTTCTCTCTTTCTCTCTTTTTCCCTCTCTCTTTCCCTCTTTCCTTCTATCTTTCCCTCCCTTTCTCTTTCTCTCTCTCTCTCTTTCCCTCTTTCTATCCCTTCCCTTCCTCCTTCCCTCTCTCCTTCTAAAGCTAGGAGACCCATCTGAAACAAACACACACACACACACACTTTCAAGCGCCTGGTAGCGTTGCTCCTTACAAGGTTCTTCCTGGGCAGTTTCTGGTCCCACGTTGCCTGGAAAAGCCAGCAGGCAAGGCTTCCAGGTCCAACAAAGGGGCTGTGGGCGGGACTTCCTCCCCTCCCACTTTTGGGGAAAGGAAAGGGCTGGAAACTTCAAGCGAGGTGTGTGCTGCAGCCTCGCTCTCCCCCCCGCTGGCAGCTCTGGGCTAGGGAGCGGTTTGGCTTTCCCGACTG